ACTAGGTCTGGACCTTACCCAAAGAATGCTGTGTCGAAAAATAAACGAAGACCAGTAAAGTTTCAAAACCCACCCAAACTAACTGTTGAGGACTTAGAAATAGAAGAACCAACACCAGAACCTGTGATCAAACCAGTTAAAACTGAAAAAGCATTAAAGGTCCCTAAAAGAAGGTTGTTACCTGCCCCTATTGAACAACTGACGAAATTTAATATCTCAACCTATTTGCAAAATCTACCATGTGGACTCTCAGTAGGACAAGCCGCACATGCTATTCCCAAATATCGTTCTGGTTTAGCTCGAGCTGTCAGACGCTCAAGAAAAAGAGCCACTGATGAAACTAAGGAAGCTAATTTAGTAGAAAGTGATGATGAACTAACCTTAGCCGCGAAATGTACTTTGAGAATTAGACAAAAAGCTCAAACTGCAATCATTGATAGTGGAGCTGCTACCAGTATCATAACTAGAGCCTTAGTAGAAAAACTAGGATATAAAATTAACTGACCCTCAAAAATGATAGTAGTAACAGCGAATGGTGCAAGAACTCGTTCCCTTGGAATTATCGATACTGTATCAGTAAAGATTGGAAAAATTAATGTATCTACTTCCTTTCAAGTACTCAAATCTAAAGATAAAATCCTTATACTTGAAAATGATTGGCTCAGAGTAACTAATGTCACTATGAGTTAGGAATAATCTATCCTTATTATTAAATGAGATGGAATTACCATGAAAATTCCTATTGCATTTACTAAAACAGCTAAAGTTGTGACTCAAGAAGCTGAGGATGAATATGAAAGTGAAGAATATGAAGATGAATATTTAGAAGAATATCCTATTTATTTGTCTGACGATGTTGACTCAGAAGAATCAGAATTAGATGATGAATTAGGATTTAACCCATGGTCTGATCATTACTCTCCTATTCAATCTGAAGAAGATACTGATGATAACGGAGAATTAGAAGAACCAATAGAAGACAACCCAGCTGCTTATCTTGCTGAAATCACAGGATATACTGCTAAAACTGATCCAACGTATTTAGAGCAACTAGGACCTTTGGACTACCATCAATAACAGTCTTTTATGAATCTGTTAGGAGAATACTACGATATTTGTGTAAGGAGTCAAACAGATATAGGAAGAACAACAGAGATTAAGCATCATATCTATACTGGAACAGCTATGCCAATTGCTCAAAAACTATATCAAACAAATCCTGAAAATACCAGATTCTTGAATCGAGAGCTAAAGAAAATGGAAGAAAATGGTATAATTTGATCCTCATATAGTCCATGGGCCTTACCTGTCATAATTGTAGGCAAGAAGGGAGATGAAAAAAGATTATGTGTTGATTATCAAAAAGTCAACGCTGTTACAAAAATTGATGCATATCCATTACCAAGAATTGATGACCTATTAGATTCATTAGGCGGAGCAAATTGGTTTACTACCCTTGACTTAGCTAGTGGTTATTGGCAAGTAGCCATGCACCCTGACGATATTGAGAAAACTGCTTTTATCACAGCAAATAGCTTGTATGAATTTCTAGTCATGCCCTTTGGATTAAATAATGCCTCTGGAACATTTCAGAGGCTTATGAACTGGGTTCTAAAAGACTTCCTTAGATTGTTTGTATCAGTTTACCTTGATGATGTAATCATCTATACAAAAGGACCCTTTGAGTTACATGTTGATTACGTTAAACAAGTATTTCAAGCTTTTAGAGATGCTCATCTTACGATAAAATTAAAGAAGTGCTATTTCTGCCAACCTTCTTTAGCATTCTTAGGACATATCGTAGGACAAGGAGGAATTCAACCTGATCCAGAGAAGATTAAGAAAATTAAAGAATTCCCAGAACCAAAAAGTCTAACTCAACTATGTGCTGCATTAGGATTATTTGGTTACTACCGAAAATTTATTAAAGATTTTGCATGACATGCCAAGCCATTGACTCTATTATTAAAGAAAGATCAACCATTTGAATGGAGAGAAAAACAACAACATGCTTTTGATCGATTAAAGGAAAGGCTTATCAAAGCACCAATTTTGCAATATCTAGACTTCGAAATACCTTTCACCTTATATACAAATGCTTCAAAGAAAGGGTTAGGTGCTGTATTATCTCAGAAAAAGGATGGAAAAAAATATGTTATTGCATATGCTAGCAGATCGACCAATAAAACTGAGGAAAATTATCCCATCACTGACTTAGAGTGTCTAGCAATTGTTTGGTCAATCAAGCATTTTCATCATTACCTTAGT